TTTTTATCCCCATCTCCCTGCTCTGCATTGGGATTTACTGCTCCTGATGGCTCCAGGCAGGGGACTTTTCCTGGGAGAAGCAGCAGATCTGGACCCAACCCCTCTGGACACACCTGGAAATTCTCTGCTGCCTCACACCCGTTTTTTTAAAGCCTCATTTTTCCTAAATCTCATTTTAAAATACCCTGTATTAAAAACGTCCTAAATTACATTTAAAAATGGGAACAACTCCCTCTCTCTGTCTTGCATGTTTTCACTACTTATGAATATTTTAAGGAACTCTACTGTTCAGCAAACACACACACAGAGCACTTCAGAGAAAAAAAACCATTTGGGATGAATTTTTGATGGAAAAACAAAAGGGCTGTGGTAAGCTCAGCGAAAATAAATCTGGTTTTAGTCATCTGTTTGGGGCTGTTTTCCTCAAAATAAAAGTAAAAAGCCACTGCCTCCCACTGCACCCACTGGGAACCATTTCAGTGAGAACAAGTACAAGGAAATGAAGAGTTCTCTGGGCAGGGCTGTGCTGAGGGGACCCCAAACCCAGGAGGGTCTGGAGGGATGATTCCAGCCTGGAGAGCTGGGCTGGGACAGCAGAGCCCCATTCCTCCATCCCTGACCATCTGTGTCTTCAAGCAGAACGTTACAGAGCCATTTGTGCTCCTGAGCATCCCAAAATCATGGAATCATGGCGTGGTTTGGGTCGGAAGGGACCTTAAAGATCATCTCATTCCACCTCCTGCCACGGGCAGGGACAACTTCCACTATCCCAGGCTGCTCCAAACCTCACCCAAACTGGCCTTGGACGCCTAAAAAATACTGTCTAGGCATTAATCAAAATAAAATCAACCCAAAATACTGCATAGACATCAATGATCTCATTTAACTCCCACCTCATTGGTTTTTTACACATCTTTGTGGTTTGGGACTTGGAGGAGGTGACAATTTAATTCAAACTCCCATCCCAGCAACTCCAACCCCCAGCCCTGCCCCCGCAGCTCTTATTCGGCCCCACAAACACCTTTTCCCTGTTTAACCCTTCCGTTTGCTTCACTCCCGGTCCTTCCATTCCCTTCCCAAAGTGCCACCTCTCCGTCCCAGCCTCTCCCCCCCGTGTGTCCCCGATCCCTTGCAGTACCCAGAACGGCCTCTCGCCGCTCCCTCGCACCATTCCTGGCTTTCCCTGCCTTCCAAACCCGAGCTGTCGCCGAGCATTTCCCCTGGAATGAAACCCGGGAAGAGCACCCAGGAATTCCAGGGAGGGCTGCGACCCACCCGGGTTTTCTCTGCCAGGTTCCCCCAGCTCCCTTCCCGCACAGGGGAGGTTGTTGCAAGACCTGCATCAAATTTATAAAGTGTATAAAATGCTTCCCAGGGGCAGCCAGCCCTCCTCCAAAGGGGAAAATCAGGGATCTGTGCAAAGGGAACCAAAGGAATAAGGAAAAAATAGAGTTGTGCAGTGCAGCCAACATCTGGGATTTGGGGCACGGCAGCTCCTGCTCCAGATCCTAAACCCTGCTGGGTTCCATCTTCCTGACAACCACACTCATGGACCCAAATCATCCCCCAGACCCACACACTCCTGTTTCAGGCAGATTTTTGCTCGATGGGGAATTTTGAGATCAATTCTATTGATTTTCAGCAGGTCGGGGTGTTTGGAGTCACCGAGGTTTTGGTTCTCGGGGGGGGTTTTCACAGCAAGGTTTTGACTCCAAGGAGCTCAGCTGCCTTTCCCAGATATGCTACAAGTTGTGCTCAAACCCTTGAGAAAACTCTTCACTGGATAGTCCAAAGAAAATCCCAAACCTTCCAAAAAAAAAAACCAAAAAAACCCTCAAAAAAAAAAAAAACCAAAACCAACCAACCAACCAAACAAACAAAAAACCAAAAAAATCCCCAAACAAACAAAAAAAACCTCTTCCTTTGCCACATCAAACTGTTCTTTCAATGCCTTGGCAGTGCAGCCAATTCCTACCTGCTTTTCCCAGTCCTCTTATCAAGCTGTTCAGGCACAGGAGATTTATTTTTAGTCATAAAGTCACCCCTGATTTTGTTGTTCTCTGGCTCTTTTCCCCCCAGAAGGCCCCAAGTTCTCCCCACCACCTCTCCTTCCCCCAGCCAGGCTCCCAACCCGGGGTTCAGCCCCTCCAGCTGATGTCCAAGTCCATGTTCACACCCTCAGATCCTCCTGTTTCCTTAGCACACTTTTCCCAGACAATATTAATTCCCAAGATGACACAGGGGGGACACATTCAGAGACACCTGGAGACCCAAACACTTGCCCAGGAATTCCCAGTGGGAATTGAAGTGAATTAAAACCCACTCCTTTACAAACCTCTCCCTCACACCACTCAAGCTTCCAATTCTAGACAAGAATAAAGAAGATTTCAAAGGAACAAAAGCACATCCCTCCCTCCACCCTTCGAATCGTGTGGACCCTCCCCATTTAAAAAAACCTAATTTTGAGCCTTTTATGTGTTCAAACCTCAAACCCTCTCTCCCTGGGTGTGTTGTTTTTTTTTAATTCTGCACACAGCTGTCTGTTGTACTTCCCCAAATGATGCCAGATGCTGGGTTCATCAACCCAACGCAGGCAAACAATGGTTTGAAAGCAATTAGAAGCACCGAGGCTGCACCGAGGCTCATATTAAAATGTGATAACACAGTTCTGGGGGGAATTGCAGGAGCTGCTGCTGCATTTCTGACATTTCTGTGCTGCCAGACACGGGCAGGATGGGCTGGAAGCAGGCCCTGATCAAGGAGGGGACACACTGGAATTTATTCCTGGAGCAAAGGAAGGATCAGCTGAGTTGGGACACTCAGAAGGGGTTTTATTGCAGTTGTTTGAACACTGATCTGTGTCTGTGCTCACCATTGTTTAAGGGAAATTTAATTTAAGGAAAATTTAAGGAAAATTTAAGGAAAATTTAAGGAAAAT